AGTCCCGGTTATCAGGCGTGCTGAGTAAGATGGCAGGGACTGAAGAGTGGAGGTGGCAGGCTGACTGGAGAAGTGCAGTGGTTTTGCTTGGGACAATAACTTGAAAAATAATAATGATAAAAAGTGTGTTTAAAACAGGTCAGGCATAAAGTGACCAGGCAGCCTGATTTTTATTTCAGCTGGCCGTTTCGTGTCTGTATTAGCACATCTCCTCTTTCCACAGCAGCAGGTGTGGTTCCAGCCTAATTCCAATATTATTTCATGGAAAGCCTTGAAAACAGATTGTCTTTGAGTGGGTACAGGGTACCATGCTTATTCTCTTAGTCATTCTACATTTCAATGTGCATCAGTTAACAGGAGCAGTAGCCACCTTCTACATCCGTTAGCAACAGTTTATCACATGGCTTTGCAATATGATAAACTGTTATCACATGGCTTTGCAATACAACAGCTGAAGCATGCAGGGCTTAAATTCAGCCGGAGCCCACTGAAGCAGAACTCCAGAAAATATTTTCAAACCCAAGGGAGCCCTGGTGCACCTGCCATGAGGCTGAAGCACCAAGCCTGGGCACGACCCCACCCCCACAGGACTAAACCCCTGAGCCCCCGTGCCTCCCTCCCATGGGGCTAAAGCTCTGAGACCCTCCACCCTGCAGCTCAAGCCCTGAGCCCCCCAAATGGGGAGGGGAGTGGGGGGCTCTGGGAAATCTCTGAGAATTTAAGCCCTGGAGGCATGTATCTATTTAAGTTTTACTTTGTATTTTACACAGTTGTGTTTATATTATGCACGCACCACACTTGGAGGGGAGAGCCCAGTTCTCCCCACCTGGCTCCATTTTCACTTGTGCAAAGTGAATCAGGACCACTAGCCATGTGATTAGACGAGGTAAGTGAGATCTTTTATTGTACAAACTTCTGTTGGTGAAAGGGACGAGTTTTGAGCATCACTGAGCAATACCTTAGATACTCAAGTACTGAGTGGGGGCTGGACTCGATGACCTTTCAAGGTCCCTTCCAGTTCTAGGAGATGGGATATCTCCATTAATTAATTTATTTATTTATTATTTAAAACCTGCAGCCATATATCCACTGCTACAATGATCATACTCCCCCTCCCAACACACTTTCAAGAGCCATGGGTCCTACACATGCCTATCAGAACATGTGGTATACCTCCTCCAGTGTATCAAATGCCCTGACAATAACTATGTGGGTGAAACCAAACACTATGCTCTTGAATGAACTCTCACAGAAAAGCAATAAGACAAGATCATCCTGTCACCCAAGGGCACACACTTTTCACAAAGCGATCACTCCATATCCGACCTCTCAGTCCTCATCCTCAAAGGAAACCTGCACAAAACCTTCAAAAGACAAGCCTGGGAATTTAAATTAATAACTTTGGCTGGACACTAAAAACCATGGACTTAACAGAGACACTGGTTTTATGGCTCATTACACCAACTGGTCACCCACCTGCTAAGTCTTAATTGCCCACTTCATTTTAAGTGGTCTCATACAGCATGCATGAACCCCTTATGCTTAACAATCTGCCCCATCTTGTATTTAGTTTGGACACTCTGGTTACTTGTTCGAGACTTGGGGAAGAGCTCTGACACTCAAAAGCTTGTCCCTTCCACCAACAGAAGTTAGTCCAATAAAAGATATTACCTTACCTACTTGTCTCACTCATATCCTTGGACCAACAGGCCTACAACAACACTGCAAACTATAAGGTACAGAGATGTGTGATAAATGCACATTCCATCTGCCTCACTTGCACTCTCTAATCTCTGATCCCATTTCCTCAGGACTGGGCCTAACATTCCAAAATCTGAAATGCTTTAAACAGGTGTCTTGTTTAATAAAAAAGTCAATCTGCCACAAAATATTTTCTCCTCTCCATTCACCCACCTCTCTTATGTTCACTGACTGTTCAGTCTAGGCCAGCAGATGGTTTATGATCAGATATTGCTTGACTCATCAAAGCTAGAAATGGGCATTTTGTGCCATTGTGAAAGGGTGATTCCACTTTCCCCGAGAGGGGGCTCAACCCTTGTTTTGATCCTGAAAGGTCCTGAAACTAAGGCACGAATGCTTAGAAAAGCTAGCTTAGATCATGTTTAAGATGTACTATAGTTTTCTCTCCCTCAAAAGCCTGTACAGAAGAAACCACCACACCTAATCAGATCTGGTTCTTCTAGTCCAACATCCTGCCTCTGACAGTGACCACTGCCAGACACGTCAGAGGTAGGGGCAAGAAACATGCACAATAATATGGAATTTTCAGCCCATAGCAGCCATTTCCTCTTAACCCCAGGCAATCAATGGTCAACACACATGCGGAAATCTGAAGATTTCTATACTCGTATCCTATATAATGTAACTGCTGGTGTTATCACTAGGCCCAAAGTAACTAAGGCTCCTGACCTTCAGTGATGGGATACAAACATCCAGTTCCAAACCTTCTTAAACTTGCTAATACATTTTAAACCTCCTTCCTTACTAAAAACAGAACACACAAAGGTATCTGTGCTATAAAGGTTTCACATTCACTCTTTTGGGGTGACCTGCATAACTCGTGGTTTCTCCAGTCAAGAGTAATGCAACAATCCCAAACTCATGCTGAGAAAAACTTGATACTGCAGCTCAGCATGTACTGTTAATATATAATCATATACATACGTGTATAGTAATATGCTATGCACTGGAATGTACTATGTATGACCCTTCTGAACAAATATTTACTGCTTTTGTACATCACTGACTCTGTTAGACGAGAATTAAGTAAATTTCTCCTCCTCACATCATTAAATGTGAATGTACCATACTAACTGCTACAGCAATTTGAATAAACGTGCCTTGAAATATTTCTGTTTGAATTAAGAAAATGCCCCTGCAAGTTCTGGATTATTTATTAGTATGGTTCTCCACATCTGTAATGTTGTTCAGGTGCTGTATTTTTATCTTCAGAAGGTTAATATTTAAAATAGATGTGAAGATACCCATCATTTTATCAGAACCTATCTGACCCACTAACTAGAGCACTTTTTCAGGAAGATCAAATAAGTTAGCTATTCTGGATGATCTTATGAATAAGAGATAGTCATTGATTAGCTAGAACCCATGTAACTTTCTCTTTTGATGGAGGAAATAGGTAAGTGCCTAAGTTTCCAGAGCACTGTGTGTGTACAGATTTCTTGGACATCTCTGCACTGTGTATGACTGATGCATACTGCTGCAGATGAGTATCCAGCTCTGCTGTTGCCAGTCTCTAACGTCTCATCTCTGGCTGCCTTTATCTACAATATTTTAAAGACGTCAGACTTTTAAAAAAACAAATGTCACACCTTGGCTTTTGTTCCACACAGCGGCTATTACTAACAATTACATTTAATTGGAGTCTGAGTCATTCAATTTCCAGAAACAATAGGCAATTATACATATGCCATACCACCCAAGAGCAGGATAGGAGTTTATCTGCTACAACAAAAGCGTTCAAACACAAGCACTCTTATTTATAGAGAGGCAAGTTCAAAGTGCACATGACTTAAGACTCCTGTAGAAAAACTTCCTTTTTATTTATTTATATCATTGTGCTGCAATGGGTCAGTTTCCATAGAGATGAGGAAGGCAGTTGCCACCAAGAGGGAGGGAAATGGCATGGTTTTGCATAACTTTTTACTGGTGCTTGGCTGTGGGAACGCCAAAGAGCAAGTCTGGAGCCCAGCTATTTGCAAAAGAGGAAAAGGCGGCCCATGAAAGGGGGCTTCTCTCGCCAGCAGGGGTCACTGATGAGAAGAATACAAGGAAATACTTTGCACAGGGAGTAGTCAGTTTACAGAATTCATTGTCACAGGAGGTCACAGAATCAAATACCATGACCACTTTGTAAATGGATGGATAATTTGACTCTATGATCATTGTTGTAGGTCAAAAAAGAAGTCAGAGGGAAGGGATCTTTTAGCTTATTTAACACTCTCCAGGCCAATGTAAGATTTTCCCATTTAGCACATTGGACTTCACAACTGTTTTATTTTTATATTTTCAATGTATTCTGTTTGAATTGTTTTGAATTTGGGTTTACATCCCAACTTGAGTCACAAGTAGAAACAAATCTGATGGTCTCATTCTACTCCTGGGTGGATGTTTATTGGAATCTTAAAATCACTTTGTATTTTGACACAGTATGCTCAGAAGTGATCCAGACTGGAATCATGGAGGTAGTGGAGTAAGTTGGGTACTGTATAGTTCAGGACAAACACGTATTGCCAGAGCTGGATTGGGAAGCTTGCACAATGACTGCCTATCATGTGTCTTGAGCTAGCAACTGGTTTAGCCCTTGGCTTTCATGAGCACTAGATTGACATACAAATGCATGCAGCAGCAGTGTCCTAAAGTTAATCACCTTTAGAAAAGAACAGGCCCTGGATTTCATTTTTTGCCAGAGAGGCTGATTTAGTGGTTTGTGCCATGCACCTGTGAAGGTGCAGAATTAGACTCCTCTAAACCAACCGTTCCAATTCTAGCAAAGATGGCTCAGTCCTTAATCCTTCCAAGATAGATAAAATAAATTCAATGGAGGTTTGCACTTGAAATGCTTTGCAAACAACCTTAACCTTGTTCCCCAACCATGTCCCTTCTCTGTATGGACACTAGAGATTCCATGGCACTTAGTCTAAGAGTAGATATTTGCCCCATTGTGCTTGGTTAAAATTACACCCTCTGCCCCTCAAAATAAACACACACAGATAAACTGGGTGCTTGTCCCCTTCCACCTAGAGGTGGATGACATTGTATATACAGAAGCACTGAGCAGCAATCTGTATAGGGATTGGGATCCTACAAGGTAAGCTCACCAGTTAACATAGCTTTGTGTCTTTAAACTGACACCATAAAGGGGCCACAACTTAAATAATAAAAAGATTATTAAAAATTTGTACAGGTTTTGCTCTCTGAAATCCTCTATTCAAACAAAACAGATAGAAAATGGGTCTCACGTCTCGCAGATCTGGTAATATTTCTCATCCTGAACGCCATCCTGGATAGGTACGTTGACACTGTAATATCGCCCCTTCCCCAGGCCAACGTCAGACACATCTCCTGTTCCTGAGCAACAAAAAACAAACCCGAACTATCAGTCAGCTAAGGAGAAAATGAGCTCAATAACATTGGCTGAACAGATCTGGGATGTCTTTCAAAGGATGGGAAGATCTGAGGCACAGTACACCTTCAGAGAAGTCTGCACTCTACTTCCAACAGGGGAGGTTTTTGAGTTACCTTGTTCAAGAAGTATCTGCCCTGGGGAAGATACTTCTAAGATTTCAAACTCTGCAAACTACAGCACCAGAGAGAGTTCAGAGACTTCAATACATTAGCAACAGTGGGAGAGGGAAGTGTGTACGCCCAGATCTACACACAGGTTGCTGCAACTGACAGTGAAAGGGGTTTTGGTAGAATCTGATGCTAAAGGGAGATAGTTAAAGGGATACTGCTGAAGTTTTGGATAAAAGCCGCTGACCTATCCACGTGCTAAGGCTCTACAATCCCTAAGGTATATAATAAATACCATTCTGGCAGACAGAAAGATGGTCCTGTGGTTAGGACTTGGGAGATTTGGGTTTGATTCCCACCTCAGTCACAGACTTCTTTGGGCAAGTCACTCAGTCTCTCTGTACTCAGCTCCCCATCTGTAAGATGGGGATAATATTTCCTCTCTCACAACCATAGCTGTAACTTTAAGCACATAAATCATCCCAGTGAAATCAATGGGACTATTCAAATGCTCAAAGTTAAGCACATGCTTAAGTGCTTTGCTGGATTGGGGCCAGAGGGCTCAGCACCTGCCAGGACAGACCTACATGGGTTGCACACCATCTCTGAACAGGATATGGTGAAGATAAAACTTGTCTTAAGAGGTTTCTTGGTCTGTATCACTGAAAATCATTTCCTAACTAAACCAGAATGGATTTAGAAAGATTTACTGATCATTTATGATCTTCAATGACTTTACATTTCACTCAGCTCAGACAGTAAAACTAGACTCGCCAGTTTCATGCAGGATTTCCATAGTCAGTTACACTTTCTGCACAGCACTGTTGCGTTTGAGTTGCCAACATCGCAGGGGACGTCTGAATTACATTTTCCTTCAATTACAAAAGCTGACATGAATTTATTTAAGATTTATTTAACACTAAACCTAAAAAACTAGTTAAATGTTCACTTTAAACAAAAAAGCTATTTTTAAAATTTTACTTCTGATTGGAGCAAACAGTGTGTCACATGAAAAAGTGGAAAACTCTGGTAAGAGTTGCTTCTGTACATCTAATCATATCACAACTGAAAGCAGGTAAAGAGGACGACTGCAGACGTTTCTTGACGGAGTCCTGCAAAGCTTTCACTAGTGCCAATGGAGCCCTCCCTAGCCATTGACAAGCTAACTCATACAGTATCATACATTTATGGTGGCGTGTAGAGTACAGACACTGCCCACCCAGCTAGCATGGGTATAAATAGCAATGTAGAGACGGTGAGACAGGGCTTAGACAAGAAGATTAGAGTGCCCTACATGCCTGAACCCCCATGGTAGATATTCTACACGGGCTGTGTACAGCCCAAGCAGTGCCTCATGTGTCTACACTGCTATTTTTAACAGCATAACGTCCCTGCTGTCTCCTCGCTACCAGAGCCTTTCGCTGCACCATGTAGTGTCTGTACGTGACACACTGCAGTAAGTGAAGACATAGCTCTAGAGAGTCCCACGTTAGAGCCTCACAGCCTCCCTCTCTTGAAAAAGGCACAAGCAAGGGTGCCTTGCATCTCACTGCATTGTCCCCTCTCCCCTCTAAAGGTACACAGAGGGTAAGGTTGCCGTCAGTGCCCCTTCTGGGCTCATCCAAGCCCTGCTGATGTTCTGCTTTTTTCTCTGCTAGACAGCAGGACACCAGCCCAGGTAGAGAGTGGCAGCACAGTGGAATGGACCCAGCAGTGGTCGTGCCCTTGAGGTTTAGTGTCAGGAACAGGCTGAGGAAGCGCACTACTGAGTGTATGGGCTCCTGTTGCATTGTTTTCTGGGTAGAGAGAGGATGCAGACACAGACGGGTGGTGGGAAACCTGGAAAGAGTGAAGGGGACAGGACTTAACCCAAGTGCAGAAACTCTGCTAGTTAGTGAAGCCATAATAAGATTACTTGCCTGGGAAAAATCCTGGTGAAAACTTATGCAGAGACACAGTCATGACTTTGGAGGTGAAACTAAAGGCATCTTCCACACCTATCAGACAGAGAGAAAGAAACTCAGGTGTCAATTACTCACATGAACTACACATTACAAAGAAATCACAACAGCACACCTCAAACAAGCAGTAGGGGGAGGGAGAGAGAATGCGCAAAAGGCAGACATGACACAGTAAATCCTTCCTTAACAAATGGAGACTAGTTCAAATGTGGCGTGGGTCACAAGTGAAATGAGTTTTGCTGGTCTCAACCTAATCATTGGTGAATGCATCTCCACATCACAAATCATTGCAAAAGTCCGCAGCACTGGTATTGTCTGTTCAGACTGGAAGAGCAGAGGGCAGTCTGGCAGCTCAGAATTAGAGTGCCCTGGAACAGACCTGTCCCTGATTAGAACCAGAGTTAATGGTCCATCCCTTTTAGCAGCACTTCAGTTCATCAAGCCTCTTTTTAATATACATAGATGCTGGGAAAGAAGTTGCAGAAGACTTAACACAAACCAAATGTGGGGGGAAAATGGACCAAAATGAAACACACCATAAAAATTAGGAGAGCAGGAAACGTTAAATAGTGTTGAAATAATAGCCCCAATGCAGAGAGCAGCTTCAGTCAAGGACCGTTCCGGCTTTAGTTTTATAGATTCATCATTTACTACAGACTGCTGCAACATCACAAATCTGCATTGACGACATTAAGCAATTAAGCTCTGGGATTGGCCATGACACAATCCTGCGTCCTGTATGGAAGGCGAGGGGTCGTGAGGAAATCCTCTTGCTTGAGACCCCTTGGCGGAGGGGCTTAATAGAATTAGAGCTTGTTAATACAGAGCTTGTTGTTTTTAATATTCCACCGTTGCTCAGATCACCACCACAGGGCCGTGTATTTTAATAATACAGAGCAAGCACCAGGGGCTGGGAGAGACACGCAAGACATCTCCTATCACGAGTCTGCAACTAGCCCCAGGTGCTCAAAAGGTATTTAGGCACCTAAACTCTTACTAAAATCAATGGGAGTTAGATGCCTAAATACCTTGAAGACCTGGGCCTAAGTGAATTGAGGGAACCTCACCTTGCTAAGTGGAGAGAAAGCCATTCTTTACAGCAGTGGTTCTCAAACTTCATTGCACTGTGACCCCCTTCTGACAACAAAAATTACTATACAACCCCAGGAATGGGGACCGAAGCCTGAGCTTGCTGCCCCGGTTTGGGGGGCCCAAAGCCCGAGCCCCACTGCCCCAGGTGGGAGGCTAAAGCCAAAGCTCAAAGGCTTCAGCCCCGGCCAGGGGGCATGTAACCTGAGCCCTGCTGCCCAGGGCTGAAGCCCTTCGGCTTCGGCTTTGGCCCCAGGCGGTGGGGTTCGGGCTTCAACTTCAGCCCCAGGCAGTGGGCTTGGGCTTCAGCCCCGGACCCCAGTAAGTCTAACGCCAGCCCTGGTGACCCCATTAAAACGGAGTTCCAACCCACTTTGGGGTCCTGACCCACAGTTTGAGAACCCTGCTTTACAGCAAGATGAAAGCTAGCACCTCTGGCTTGTGAAAGCTGCACTCTAGGCATCCTCCTCCATACACGAGTCTGTTTGCAGGGCCCCAATGCCTCACCACTGTTCATTTTCCACCAAGAGCATTGGCGAGGAGACACAATGATACCTCACCCTGCCCTAGCTCTTCACTTATATCAGGGGTCTCAAACACGCGGCCCGCAGGGCTATTTCCTGCGGCCCGCGCGCCCCCACCCAGCCTACCTCCAGGCCAGGGGTGGGCAAACTACACCCACGGGATTGCCCCCCTCGAGCCCCGCGCCACTCCCTGAAGCGGCTGGCATCACTTCCTTGTGGGGGGGGGGGGGGGGGGGGGGGGGGAGAGCAGAGGGCTCCGTGTGTTGCCCTGGTTTCCAGGCACACCCCCCCCCACAGCTCCCATTGGCCGGGAACGGGGAACCGCGGCCAATGGGAGCTTCAGGGGAGGTACCTGGAGGAGCAGCAAGCAGCATGCGGAGCCCTGCGGCCCCCACAGGGCCGCAGGGACATGGTTCCAGCTTCTTTGCGGAGCTGGAGCTGGAGCTGGAGCTGGGCGGGAGGGAAGCAGGCAGCCTGCCCTGGCCCCGGTGTGCGCCACTGCCACCCCAGAGTCGCTTTAGGTAAGCGGCTCCGGGCCAGAGCCCTAAGCCCTCCTGCACCCCGCCCCCCAACTCCCTGCCCTGAGCCCCCTGCCTGCACCCCAATCCCCTGCCCTGAGCCCCCTGCCGCATCCCACATCCCTCCTGCACCCCAACTCCCTGCCCTGAGCCCCCTGCTGCACCCCAACCCCCTGCCCTGAGCCCCCTGCCTGCACCCCAACCCCCTGCTGCATCCCAACTCCACGCCCTGAGCCCCCTAACCCCCTGCTGCATCCCACACCCCTTCTGCACCCCAACCCCCTGCCCTGAGCCCCCTGCCTGAACCCTGACCCCCTGTACCCCAACCCTCACCCCTCCTGCACCCCACACCCCAACTCCCTGCCCTGAGCCCTCTGTCGAACCCTGCACACCCTGCCCTGAGCCCCCTGCTGCACCCTGCACCTCAACTCCCTGCCCTGAGCCCCTGCCACCCCCCTACTACACCCTCTGGGGGCAGGGAGGGCGCAGAGTTGGGGTGGGGACTTCAGGAAAGGGGTTGGAATGGGGGCAGGGAAGGGGTGGGAAGAGGCAGGGCAGGGGTGGAGCCTCATGGAAGGGGTGGAGTGGGGGCAGGGCCGGGGGTGTGTGTGTCAGTGATGCGGCCCTCGGGCCAGTGAACTAGTCCTCATTTGGCCCCCCTGGTCATTTGAGTTTGAGACCCCTGACTTATATCAACCCAAGTGAATCAGTCGTGCGCTCTACCAGTGGTCAGGTAGAGATCGGGGCCTGGATTTGGCCTAGCTGACAAAGGCTCAACTCACTGAAGACTGCAATGATACTGGTAGATTGGGGAAAACAATTAAAAGATTTGGCCAAAATTATACTTGTTCCTCTGGAAGCGTATGTGCTGTCTTAGGATCTAGCTAGATCCCCAGCCACTGCAATCAAGGCCTGGTCTACACTATGAGTTTAGGTCGACTTTAGCAGGGTTAAATCGAATTAAGCCTGGACACGTCCACACGACGAAGCCCTTTTTTTCGACTTAAAGGGCCCTTTAAACTGGTTTCTTTACTCCACCTCCGACGAGGGGATTAGCGCTAAAATCAGCCTTTGCGGGTCGGATTTGGGGTAGTGTGGATGGAATTCGACGTTATTGGCCTCCGGGAGCTATCCCACAGTGCTTCATTGTGACTGCTCTGGACAGCACTCTCAACTCAGATGCACTGACCAGGTAGACAGGAAAAGCCCCATGAACTTTTGAATTTCATTTCCTGTTTGCCCACCGTGGAGAGCACAGGTGACCACGCAGAGCTCATCAGCACAGGTAACCATGATGGAGTCCCAGGATCGCAAAAGAGCTCCATCATGGACCGAAGGGGAGGTACGGGATCTGCTCGCCATATGGGGAGACGAATCAGTGCTAGCTGAACTCCGTAGCAATAAACGAAATGGCAAAATATTAGAAAAGGTCTCAAAGGCCATGAAGGACAGAGGCCATAACAAGGACGCACAGCAGTGCCGCGTGAAAATTAAGGAGCTAAGGCAAGCCTACCACAAAGCCAGAGAGGCAAATGGAAGGTCCGGGGCAGAGCCGAAAACATGCCGCTTCTACACGGAGCAGCATGCGATGCTAGGGGGTGCAGCCACCACTACCCCAACCGCGTACTTTGACTCCGTCAATGGAGAAACACGCAACAGGGAAGCGGGTTCGGGGTACGAGGAAGATGATGATGAAGACAATGAAGAGAGCTCACAGCAAGGAAGCGGAGAAACCGGTTTCCCCAACAGCCAGGATATGTTTATCACTCTGGACCTGGAACCAGTAACCCCCAAACTCACCCAAGGCGTGCTCCCAGACCCTGAGGGCACACAAGGGACCTCTGGTGAGTGTACCTTTGTAAATATTACACATGGTTTAAAAGCAAGTGTGTTTAATGATTAATGATTAATTTGCCCTGGCAATCGCGGCCAGTACTCCTACTGGAAAAGTCTGTTAACGTGTATGGGGATGGAGCGGAAATCCTCCAGGGACATCTCCAGAAAGCTCTCCTTCATGTACTCCCAAAGCCTTTGCAAAAGGTTTCTGGGGAGGGCTGCCTTATCCCGTCTGCCATGGTAGGACACTTTACCACGCCAGGCCAGTAGCACGTAGTCTGGAATCATTGCATAACAAAGCATGGCAGCGTATGGTTTGCTGGCATGCAGACATCCATTCCTTATCTCTCTTTGTTATCCTCAGGAGAGTGATATCATTCACGGTCACCTGGTTGAAATGGGGTGATTTTATAAAGGGGACATTCAGAGGTGCCCGTTCCTGCTCGGCTGAACAGAAATGGTCCCCGCTGTTAGCCACGCGATGGGGGAGAGGGGTGAAGGGATCATCGCAGAGAATTGGATGTGTGTGTGTGGGGGGGGGGGGGG